TTTCGGAGCCCTACTCCATCATCAGGTGAGCTTGGGAGATCCACAAAATGACAACCACAGCGCAGAGATAGTTAATTCCGACTTGTCGGAAAGTATCGGTTAGATATTAAGTCCCGAACGGGAGATAGCGGCCTGCGTGCAATGGTAGTACTTTCGTACCACCGAGGCGCAACTATCGATAGTAAAAGGATGGTAAAAGGCTTTCTTTCAGGCAAGCCAAATTATAAAAATAGAAAACAAATTTCTTGCAGTAGAGGTATATAATAAAATTATATAAGGATTCTTCCCACTTAACTGCTAATATAGAAATTTAATTCTACGCTGTGTTTGTCATAATGCGGATCAACCTGCTCTCACTACCGGTTTCGGGAGCTCCATCATCAGGTGAGCTTGGGAGATCCACAAAATTACAACCATAGCGCAGAGATGAATTAATTCCGACTTGTCGGAAAGTATTGGTTAGATATTAAGTCCCGAACGGGAGATAGCGGCCTGCGTGCAATGGTAGTACTTTCGTACCACCGAGGCGCAACTATCGATAGTAAAAGGATGGTAAAAGGCTTTTTTTCAGGCAAGCCAAATTATAAAAATAGAAAACAAATTTCTTGCAGTAGAGCCCCCTTCCCAAGCTCACCTGATGATGGAGTAGGGCTCCGAAACCGGTAGTGAGAGCAGGTTGATCCGCATTATGACAAACACAGCGTAGAATTAAAATTCTATATTAGCAGTTAAGTGGCAAGAATCCTTATATAATTTTATTATATACCTCTACTGCAAGAAATTTGTTTTCTATTTTTATAATTTGGCTTGCCTGAAAAAAAGCCTTTTACCATCCTTTACTATCGATAGTTGCGCCTCGGTGGTACGAAAGTACTACCATTGCACGCAGGCCGCTATCTTCCGTTCGGGACTTAATATCTAACCGATACTTTCCGACAAGTCGGAATTAACTATCTCTGCGCTGTGGTTGTCATTTTGTGGATCTCCCAAGATCACCTGATGATGGAGTAGGGCTCCGAAACCGGTAGTGAGAGCTGGTTGATCCGCATTATGACAAACACAGCGTAGAATTAAATTTCTATATTAGCAGTTAAATGGCAAGAATCCTTATATAATTTTATTATATACCTCTACTGCAAGAAATTTGTTTTCTATTTTTTTAAAAATTTAGTTTTATATGTAGTGCATAGTAATAAACAAGCCCTGTTGGGTAGAGAGTGGCTGAGGCAGTTGAACATTGGTTTCTCCTATCTGACAGAAGAGAATGTTTATTCTGTAGACTCTAGACTAGAGAAAGTTTTGCAAAAGTATGAATCAATTTTTAGAGCAGAAATTGGAAAAATTGAGGGTATTCAGGCCAAGTTTAATGTTAGAGAAAATTGTTTACCATATTTCCAGAAAGCAAGAAAAATACCATATGCTTTACTACCAAAAGTTGAAAAAGAGTTAGACCTTTTGGAAAAAGAAGGTGTTCTTGAAAAAGTAGACAGTTCAGAATATGCGACACCGATAGTGCCAGTTTTGAAAGAAAATGGAAGGGTAAGGATTTGCGGAGCTTTCAATTGTACTCTAAATGCAAATTTGATTATTGACGAATACCCACTCCCTTCTATTGAAGCTTTGTTTACTTCTTTAGCTGGTGGGAATAAATTTACAAAATTAGATCTCCACCAAGCATATTTACAAATGGAGGTAAGACCAGAAGACAGAAAATATCTTGTCTTAAGTACACCGAAAGGGTTATACAAAAGTACTAGACTAATGTACGGTATTGCTAGCGCACCTGCCATCTGGCAAAGATCAATTGAAAATATTTTGAAAGATATCCCAGGGGTATCAGTATTTTTAGATGACATTAAAATTACAGGACCAGATGATGAGACTCATTTTGAAAGACTGGAAATGGTCTTGAACAGATTAAAGAACTATAACATTCGAGTAAATAAAGAGAAATGTTCATTCTTAGCAGACAAAATTGAATACTGTGGATATATTATTGACAGGAATGGAATACATAAAACTAAAGAGAAAATACAAGTAATACAAGATGCAAGAGTTCCAACAAACAAGAATGAAATAAGAGCTTTTGTTGGACTAGTCAATTATTATGCAAGGTTTTTACCAAATCTAAGTGATGTATTGTATCCAATATACAATTTATTGATTTATATAAGGATGGTGTTTCTTTTAGATGGACAAAGAAATGTGAAAATGCGTTTAATAGGGTTAAAGAAGAAATAATGTCTGATAAAGTCTTGGCATATTTTGATCCTACCTTACCATTAATTTTAGCAACTGATGCAAGTCCTTATGCAGTAGGAGCAGTATTATCGCATCTATATCCAGATGGATCAGAAAGGCCAATTCAATTTGCTTCTCACCCCTTAACAGTAGTACAACAAAAATACAGCCAGATAGATAAAGAAGCTTATGCAATAATTTTTGGAGTTAAAAAATTTTACTATTATTTATTTGGTAGACCTTTTACACTTTATGTTGATCAAAAAGCGTTAGTGCAGATATTTTCCCCAGAAAAAAACTTATCAACATTAACTACCATGAGAATGCAAAATTATGCTATTTTTCTACAAAGTTTTTGCTATGACATTAAATACAAAAATACAAAATTACACTTGAATGCTGATGCTATGTCAAGATTATCAATTAAAAGTACAAGTGAATTTTTACGAGATATTACAGATCAATTTGAAATAGATCAGGTAGAAACATTACCAGTTACAATGACAGAATTACGCAAAGAAACAGAGAATGACAATAGTTTAAAACAATAGGTTTGTTCCATCATATCCTATTTCTGTTTTTTAAACGTTTTTGCATACAACTTATTATAATAAGTGCACCATTAAAATTTCAAAACGAAATCTTTTGCCGTTTTCGAGATATGAGAGCTTAAAGTTTGTAATGGCTAGACGAGGCCACGCCCCCTCGTGACGTAGTTCCACTACACCCGACTTGCCGTCGATCAGTTCGTAACGGAAACCCCCGTTTGAATTAATGTGATTTGTCATTTTATCGTTATTTAGACTATTTCGTTGGTTTATTTTCACAAGATGCATTCGGTAGGAGAAGGGTTCAATAAAGCTGATTCGGGCAATCTCCCAGAAGTGGACATTTTTATGATAATGGATTATTTTAATAAAAATAAGGAGTTTATTAGTTCAGAAATGAAGGAAATAAAGTTACAAAGGTACCTAAGTAAACCTTTTAATTTCTATTATATTTTCCTTCTAAGATATTTTCTATTGCTTAAATACCTATCTGTATCGGAAAGCAGTGGCGGCTCGCTAGGGTAAAAAAATCAAAGGGTTATTTACCCTATATGAAAGAAGGCAACCTATGCATTTTCTTAATTAACCTATGCAATCTTCTGCTATTTGTAACATTAACACAATTAATTAGCATTTTGAGGCTTTTCGGCTAATTATTGAATTAACAATTGTTTATTGTTTATATTAATAATATAATTAAGTTAGAATATGAATATAATTAATATTGAATTAATACATAATAATTGTACAAGTAAATAAGAGACTTTACTCAAATATATATTTTTTTGTTTCCTTTAATGACTAAAGTAAATTTTAAAGCACTAGTACCTTAAAGTAATATTATTATATATCGGAGTGTGGCGAAAAACATTTTAACACGCTTGTAGAAAACTATTTTTAATTATTTTTGATATTTTTTAAATTTTAAAAATTTTAATTTAAAAAAAACAAAAATAAATTAATTTTGATCAATTATTAATAAATATTTTCGCGAAAAATTCACGAAGCAGAAAAAATCAGTGGTTTCATATACAGCTGACAAATACTGAATTGATTTTAAGATATGTGATTGACTAGGACTAGTTCGAGGTTGGTCCGCGAAAAGACGTAATACAATAAATATATAGAAAAATATTTCTACTTTAAGGTAAAAACTGATACGTAAGATATGTACTTTTTTCTTACAGATCCGGCAGACAAAATTATGGTAATAATGCCATTGGATAATATGTGCAGTTAAAACAACAGCAATCACTATGACAAGTAGTGGCAAAAATTACACCGGAGCACAAAATTAATGCAAAAAATTATAATGTACATTATTATATCCATATATATTTTTTTTTACTTTTTCTTGGGTATGAGGTTTTTTTAATAAATTAAAAGATTTTTTTTTATGCGACGTTTCGCTCCAACATAGTGGGCTTTATCAGGCACTTTATTCTTGAAGTCGCCTTGCTAGTACCAGTCTGTATAAATTAGTGTGATGACTGTGTCACACTGGTGCCTCTGTCAGAGACAAAATCATGTCTTCACATTGCATGCTGCCATTCTCGTCTTATGTCGGACGGTAACGAAATAAATAGTTTTTCTGGGGAATTTTTATTCGTATTTGTGCATTCTGGCACTACACAACGTTTCCTTATTTTTTACACTAATATTGAATAAAAGAAAGACTTTAGTTCTACACTACGTTATACTATAAATTTAAAATACACTTTCTGTAATCGGGCAAAGCAGACTTGTGCATTGTATCGAGGCGCGGTCGCCAGCCGACCTGTGGTGCTATGACGTAGCGGCTGGCCACGCCCCTTTCTCGTGCAATAGATGTTTGTACGTGCTTTTGAGGTACTAAACGTATGAATAAAATTCTAATTTTTGGTAGATCTGTTATTTTTTAGTTGTACGTTCGATTGGTAAAATAAAAAAAAATTGTGAAACAAGCCCATTACTAGAAGCATTGAAAGAAGGTTCAGAAATTAAATCGCAGGATAGATTTAATATCCCACAATGGGAATTTTCTATTTATAATGATTGTATTTTCAGAAATGATGTTGCAGTAATACCGAAGAGTTTAAGGAAAAAGATCTTAGAACAATTACATGCGAGTCACAACCTGGAATTGCAAACGATATTGAAAATATAAGATATATAATTGATAGTAAGAATTGTGTTGACTGTGATAAATTAAAGAATAATGTACCAAAGATTATGCACCCATGGGATGAACCAACAGCTCCAATGGAGAGAGTACATATAGATTTTGCAGGAACATTCATGAATATGTATTTTCTGGTACTCGTGGATGCTTATTCTAGGTGGCCAGAAATACATATTGTGAAAAACATGACTGCTGAAACGACCATTAATGTTTTAAGAAAAATATTTGCATGCTTTGGTTTGCCATATGTACTAGTATCTGATAATGCTCAAACTTTTACATGCTATGAATTTAAAAAGTTTATGCAAGAAAATGGTATCATTCAAAAATTTTCAGCACCATATCATCCAGCAACAAATGGATTGGCAGAAAGATACGTGCAAACTTTTAAACAGGCTTTAAGAGCGTTAAAAGGGAATGACAAGGAAAAAGAATTATCAAAATTCCTTTTGCATTATAGAAAAACACCGCATGCCACTACGGGAGTAAGTCCAGCATACCTAATGTTTAACAGGGAATTGAGAACAAGGCTAGACTTACTGGCAAAACCCAGGAATACCTTGGAGGATAAATCAGATTTTCACCCGAAAAGGAAATTTCAGGTGGGAGAGAGAGTAGAATGTAGGGATTACATACATGGTGAAAAGTGGGAATTTGGTAAAATTATAAAATGTCTAGGAAAGTTGCATTATTTGGTCAATATGGATGACGGTTTAGAATGGAGAAGGCATGTAAACCAGATAAGGGGAATTGGAAACGATACACCGATGGTCAGTAGTAGGAGGGATCAATGTTCGGAGCCTTGGGAGCCATATCTTTTTATGCACCAAGATCAAATAAATAAAGATCCAATAGATAATCACAAAAATCAGATTGATACTGACTTGCCTGAAGATAATTCAAGTACGCCAGTGGAAGTAAGGGATCCGGAATTTTTGTCATGCACACCGTCGATAGATCCTATTCTAAGGCGCTCAAAACGAAACGTTAAACCGCATGAACGATTAAATTTGTAAGGGTAGATTTCTTGATTTCTTTGATATTTGTTAAGAGTAGAATTATTTTAAATAATGCGGGGAGAGTGTTAGGGTTATGCAACCAGTAATGTGTGTTGATGAATTCAGTGTACCCATCCCTAAGAGTGACGGAAGAAAAAGAAGGCAACAGACTTACCGACCAGAAAACAGCATCGACACAAGCACATCTGATTATTTTTACTTATCGCTATTAAGATGGTTAAATGTTAAATTTAGTAATTAGTTAATAAATGAAGCAGTAATAACGTGAGTTCCTTTCTTAATAATACATACGTAGATTTTTTTTTTTTACTACATACACAACAATATTATATAGGTAACTTTAACGACATCAAACATTTACATTAAACTAATTTTCGGTGAATTCGGTAAACTCTTTCATTTCTTCTACGAAGAAGATGCATCTCGAGTTTTTCGGCTTAGGTTGTTGTATCATCATTACTACGTCCTGTTCATCGTACCAGATTTGGTCTTCAATATCAGGCCAGCGCCGTCCTGATGTTCTACATTGAACCGTTGCGGAAACAAGATACTCTTTATTTCGAGTTTCAGTAACTTTACCCGGAAAGTATTTTCCGTAGTACTTGACAACCACGTAATCCAACGGCTTTGGTTTTTCCATAGTTAAATTTTCTCGTATTCTGCTTAAAGGCACATTATTCTCATCGCTTGCTCCGGATTCGTCAATTTCGACGAAACCCCCCCCCCCTTTGTGTATTTACCCCAACTTTTTATTTTGTTATTATTGTCTTTTTTCTTAGCTTCTAGTTTTCTTTTTCTTTCCAATTTATTAGCTTTCAGTTTGGCTTTTTCCTCACTTTTTTCTTGCAATATTCTTGCCACATTTGGCTTGTTACAACACTAGGTATCTTTTCTTTAGATTTCTAATTTATCACCGGTTTTGGTTCTGGCCAGAATAGCGCTCGTTCAAAAGGACTGGGGACGTTTGGTCCGGCTGTGGTATTGACTAATTCCACGGAACACTTCATTGGAAACTTAGGATTTTGTAAAAATGACAGGTTGGGTTTTATAGGCGTAATAATTTTCATATCTAAAATCTTAACTTTAGTTTTGGAATTCGGTAGTGATTGCTTTACAATCTCAGAATTACAGTTGGGTTAAAATCAGGCAGCTCAATTTTGTCATCCAGATCAGGACAACGTGAAGGTGACAAGGATGTATGTGGTATGTCATTAGTGATCGTTGGGCTTTCACTGTTTTCAGCAGTTCAGATCACGTTACCAATTGTTTCGTTATTGCAAACAGGATCTGTATTGTTATTTTCATTTATTAGTTCATAACTAATGTCGTCTTCAAATAAAATTTCTGTTTCTTTTATAATGTTTTCAATAGACCTTGTAGTAAATCCGCAACTTTGTTTCATTTTCTTCCAAATTTCAAACAATGATTTCTTCTATTCTTCTATTCGACCACTCCACTGTTCTTGAAATAGGTGCCCTTCAAAACTTTCAAGTACTTTTTGGTCCATAAAAGATTCCATAAATGCAAGTCTGTCTATATTTGTCGCCTGTACGTCGTCTTCAGATTGTTTAGGTGAATTAGTTTGATCATCAAAATTGCTTACTACTTCGGGATCCCATGAATAGAGTCCACATTTTTTAAATCCGTTTTGCAGGATCTCTGGAGTTACCCGATCTTTAATAGCAGCTTCTAATAGGGGGGCAAAATCTCGTCGTCTTAATATTTCATGTTGATTTTGAAGTCTCCATGCGCTGACTTGCTCTTTCCAACCAGACTTTAAAGTGCGAAACACTGCAACATTCATTGGTTGTAACAAATGTATAGCATTTGGATATAACGCCACCAACAAGTGTGAGGAATGTTCGTCTACGAAAAATATTATGAGAAATGTAACAATTTCTTTGGCCCAAGGATAAAAGACGTTTATCATATAACTATAAAAAGTATCTTAGGTTATCCACCCATTCTCTGAAACTCCTATTCCCCAATGTCTTGGTACTCTTGCATAGAGGTCGGAAGGAATTCTTTTATAGCGAAAAATTATCACTGGTGGAGCCAAAGTTCCCGTGGCATTTCCATTTAAAAGTACTGTACGGCACTTCTTTTATTTACAGTTGCGTAAACTGTCTTATCACCCTTTGATGTTAAAACTTTATTTCCTTTTTGATTTAAAAAAAGCCGACTCATCGGCATTAAAGATACGAGTAGGATCTTGTAAGACAGTTGTTAAATTATCAGCTTCAAAAAACTCGTAGACTTCAAAAAACCATCTTCTTATTTGTATTTTGTTCTACTCATGGTTAAATTTTGAGGAGTCCTGAGGCTTATTTCGGTATGTCGACCTAAAAAGCTTTCGTACCACTTTCGCCCCGGCATATTATTATGTTTAAACTTCTTTTTAAGCTCTTTTGCTAGTTTATGTTTCTTAACTTGCGAAGGACCACCCTTTATACAAGGGAAATAACGATTGCGGCGGCACTACTTTTAATTAATTTATTACAATTAAAATGATAAAAAATACAACAGCAAATTGAGCCCGTTTTACGTGACGTGACAATTATTTTCGCGAATTCTTCTCTCGTCTCTATGGAACTGTAAACAAAACGGTCAGGCCTGTTCACAATAACAAACATGCCGCCCGCGTTAAAAAATCTATTTTTCAAAGTATAACTTAAATTGTTTTTTTTTACTTGAACAAAGACGAACTCCTTATTCGGTATTAACTTTTAGAAATATGTCCATTGGACAAACGAACGGACACAACACGAACTATTTGATCTGCACCAGGATGAAGTTCTACAATGCGAGCCATCGGCCATCGTAGCGGGGGTTGGTTATCCTCAACTAACATAACTAGCGTTCCCAACTTCAAATTTTCTTGGTTTTTCTTCCACTTGGAGCGATTCTGAAGATTGGTCAAATACTCTCGAGACCAGCGGCTCCAGAAATGCTGAAGTTTTTGATATAGCGCTAAGCGTGATGATTTGCACGCCAAAAAATCGACTTCGGGGCAACTTGCTAGAGACTCGCCTATTAGGAAGTGGGATGGGGTTAAAGGATCGTAGTCTTTAGCATCATTAGAAAGCGGGGTTAAAGGCCTCGAATTTAAACACGCTTCAATCTGTACTAACAACATGTACATATCTGCATAGTTTAAAGAAGTATTACCAAGAACGCGTTTTAGGTGGAATTTTGTGCTCTTAACTGCTGCTTCCCATAAACCTCCCATGTGAGCAGAGCGAGCTCGTATAAAATGCCAGTTGATCTGATCGTTAGCCAAACACGTGCATACGGTCTCGTTATGTTTTTTGTCGTTAATTAAAGTATATAATTTCAGAAAACAGTTTTTTGCACCTATAAAATTTAGACCGTTATCCGAATAGATATTACTAGGCTTACCACGTTTTGAATAAAATCGTTTTAACGCGTTTTAAAAAAACAATCTGGATTCAAATCATATTCAATATGATCACTAGTTCAATATGAACAGTATGAGTGGTAAAACACACAAATAAACAAATATAAACCTTTATAAGCCCCCCTTACTTCGGAGTAATCTTCCCTCCTTAATGTAAATAAGTATGGCTCGCGTAGTCAACTCCACAAATTGAAAAAAGACGACTCGGCATGACACGTCGTTAATTTGTAAAAAGTTGAGTACCGTTCAAAGATGTCAAATTTAACTGTATGCATATTTTCCGTTAATTTTGTTTCGGTAGTTAAATTTAAAGAAACTGCGTCTATGTTTATTTCGGGTAATGTGTCTAAATCGCCGGGTATAAACTCATTTCAGTATTATCTAGTATTCGCGTTTCGTTATATAAAATTCTGATCCATTAAAACAAATCATATTTTCAACGAAGTTTCGGATTCCTAAACCTCGTGAGATTATGATATTATATCAGCTGCATTTACCTGTGTTTTCTTTTTTACGTGTTTCCAATCCTTTATATTTGACAATTCTGTGATTTTAACAACTCTATGAGGTAAAAGAACGTGGCGATTTATTTTTGTATTATTTAAATGTTCTAAAATATGTTTAAATTGCATATGTCCTAAGCTCTCGTATTCGGCCATAAAATCTTTGTATTGAACTTCAAGATCATTATTTTTTCTAAACCGTTTTTCTAAATTATGAAACCTTTTTAAAGCTACTGACTTTGAATCACCTAACTTGGTTTCGCATTCTTCTTTAAAAGGATACTGTACTATGAATCTACCCTCACTATCGCGTTTTGTTGTTTCTCTAAAAATGTCTTCGCAGATTTGTTCCTCTTTTGAGAAAAAAGTTTTATTTGGTATATTTTCTATAGTCCAGAATTTGTTTAAAGTTTCGTTTAAATCTTTATTCGTTATCTTTGTAGATAAATTACAAACTGAGTTTTGATTGACAATTTTCGGCAATGCAATTCTCCCTGCAAAAACCCAACCTAAATGTGTTTCTTGCAAAACTGGCAATTCACTACCCAATGATATTTTTCCGTTTTTAAGTAGTTCATAAAATATACTAACTCCGAGTAATAAACCAATTTGTTTAGGTACGTGAAACATTTCATCAGCTAACTTAATATTAGATGGATAATTTACTTTGTATTAATCAAATTTAATCAAAGGTAGTTTCTCCGTGATTGCTGGCACTACTAAAAAGGAAAGATTTGCTTGAAATTGTTCAACTCGTGATTTTATTTTCGTGAAAACCCTTTGCGAGATGCGAGTTACTTTTTGATTCACTCCTGATAAAGGAATATCAACTTTTTTGTTTTACGTAACGTGACAATTATTTTCGCGAATTCTTCTCTCGTCTCTATGGAACTGTAAACAAAACGGTCAGGCCTGCTCACAATAACAAACAGCTAGTTTCGAGGCACTGGATAAAAACATTTCTTTAGTAATCGGGAACCCACTTCTTACCATAAATGTTATCCACGTAACAAGAGATCCTCTTCAACTTTTGAAAACATTGTAGCAGGCCCCATTTTTCTAGACTCCGGATTAAT